GGACTATATTGGACATCTTGAGGGAAGCCAAGGTATTGGTGGGTAGAATATGTCCCAATGCACTGGCAGCATAGGACTATCATGGAGTCTGGCTAGTAAGTTTACTTCAGCATTTGTGCAGCAGAGATGAGGGGGAACAATGTTAGTGAGGACTGGTAGAGTGGGGTGCAATGTACCTGATGTGAGACACATTGCAGCATGAAATTGGATGTTCACTAGTTTGCTGTGCAATGAATGAACCCATACAGGAGCACAGTATTCTGCAATTGAATAACACAGTGCAAGAGCATGTGAATGTAGTATGGAGGCATCAGTACCCCAAGTGGAGCCTGCAAATTTGGTAAGTAGGTTATTCCTTGTTTTGAGTTTTAAAGAAGTTTTCTGGAGATGTGATTTATAAGTTAAATTCCAGTCAAGGGTGACTCCAGGATAAGCTGGGTTTTGAATCTGAGGGGCTTACCATTTAAGGTGACAGTGATTTTCCAAGTAGCGCTGGCATTACGCAGATGGAAAACAACTGAGACAGTCTTTGAGATATTTGGTTTAAGGTGCCATTTTAGGAAGTTCTCTAACATCAGTCTCATATCTCCATCAAGTGTGAGTTTCACATTTGAGAAGTCATGAGCTTAGGTGGCCAAGGCACTGTCATCAGTGTAAACAATTTTTTGTGAGTCAGGCACAGGCAAGTCGTTAATGTACAGGTTGAAAAGGAGAGATGCTGGTACTGATCCTTGAGGAAGGCCATTCTTTGATGCCTTCAAGAGCTAATTTGCTTGGCCAGGTGGACTCTAAAGCAACGACCACAAAGTAATAGTTTGACTAGATGAGTGGCCCAATTTGGTGGAATTCCTAATATTTTTGCCAGAAGATTGGTATGCCAGACAGTGGCATATGGTGCTCTTAAATCAAGGAAAACAACGCCAGTCTTCAGATTTTTCTGAAAGAGATATGCACAAAGCTAACTCAAGCCAATCAAATTTACTATACATAGGGCAATTTTATCTGGAATTAGTAGATTCAAGAAGTAGTTGTTTTACATGCACAAGAATATACACAAAAAGGATTAATTGATTAGAAGGTCACTATCATCCCCATCATTTTTCTGTTTGGAAGTATGGTTTAAACTCTCTCTGAGAAATAATGACAAGTATAGACTAAAACACAAAAATGACTAAATGAATACTTTGCTCTTTATTCTAAATTAATCTAATATTTAGACATTATTAGTTTGAATCCTTAGTGACCTGCTCATTTTTATGGATTCACAGACTAATAGAGTTTAATGCCAGAAGAGACCAATAGAATAGTCAATCAACAATGTTTTGTATTTTGTTAAATATTGCAGGGTATTAAATTCCACCAAATATTGAATCCTACCACTTGTGTAAATGAATATGTGCAAAGAAGATGCCAAGACTGTGTGCAAACATGTAAAAATACAGTGTCAAGCAGGTGAAAAGCACTAAGTCTGTGGAGAATTTGGATTTGATATAGTGGAACTGCTGCCTTTTACATCCTCTTGGGAGATATTTTACAAAGGAATAAGTGATTACACAACTTTCAGAACAGCAACAACAAAAATCAGGCCCAGTAATGTGTATAGGATTGGACCATAAAAACAGCAACTTTTGGGATATTGATGGTGGATAAGAATTAGAAATAGGTAACTTTCCACTCCCTATACACCCTTTGCTGCTGACTCCTGTCCCAAAGGCTGAACCAATCTCCAGAGCCTAATAGTACTTTAACTTGGGAGCCATCATCTCTAAGCATATCAGGATATTCTGCTGTCAAGTCTTCTACACAGATACCCACATGTTTCTCATCATTGGAAGAACCAATTAGTAGGAGCTGAAAATCATTCAGCTTCTAAGGAAGCATGCAATTCCTTGCTGAATTTAATCCAGAAAGGTTAGGTATGATTTCATTCCTTAGGTACATCTGAAACAGAGGGTGCTGACAGAAATGACATTTTGTTGCCTGATCAGCCCACCTGAAGAGCTCTACAGCTGTGATCTGACATAAGCACATGGCTGCAGAATGCTTTAAATGTTCCTGATTATGGGGTGCTCTGAACCCTCATTAAATTACATGAGGACTCGGGTAACAAAGGTGCTCCAAAGCAGAGAGCCTTCATTAACTTCTGTCACTCCCACCAATGAGGGGAGAGAGTCTGCAGACATGCAGCTACACCAAACTGAAGCTCAATCACCCAAACTCCTAGAATCAACAGCAAACTTCTGTTGGGTTAAGGGGATTACTGTAACTCCTGTGGAGCACCATGAGTTACAGCAGGGAGCTCTATGTCTATCAGCACCCTCCAACTCCATCTTTCCTTCAAGGCAAAGCTTTCTATTATTGTGTGTGTCAGTCATGAATTATCACTTTCTTTTGCTGCATTATTTTGTTTCTCTCCCTCAATTACAATTAAATAGTATGCATCCCAACTTTAACTTGTTGCCTATTTTGTTGATGTCTAATTGGTAAAGCATTCTTACACAAGTACTGGAACTGCTCCTTACGGACACCTGCTTGACTCTTAAGAAGGTGACTGCTTTTTGGCTTGCATATTATTTTTTTCTTGTAAATGAGTTTCATTATTGATAACCTTCCAGTAGAAATGCACATAAGACTGAATAAATGATAACTCTAACACAAATCTGTAATAGAAACCACATCCCATCTATCAGAAGAGAGGAATATCTTTTGAAGAACTGTTCCCAGTAGACTCCTAATAATTGCAGTATATATTACAGTCAAAGTAAATTAAAAAAAAAAGACCTTCACTGGTTGGCATTTGAAAAATAAAGTACTCAAAAGTTAAAAAACACTATAATTAAGGTTTTTTGTTATTTGGTTCCGTTAGTCCCCCAGGAAAACATTAATTTAATTGTGCAATACATTCTATGCAATTTTATCTCAAATCCCCCAAAATTGTGTTTCTTGCTATACCAGATCTCTAATGTCTAGCATGTCAAAACACACAATTTTTGGCATCGGTAATAAAATTCCTCCGATCCTATCACATCTGTTTGGGAAGCTCCCCAATCCCCAGTTCCTCACGACCTGGAACCTTAAATTGCATACATGGCCGGTTGCATGCCTTTTTAAACAAGCTGGCAAGGGTAGCTTGTGTTCAAGGAGCTGCCCCCCTGATCTCAGGCTCCCCGATGTCTATTTAAACTTGCTGGCACTGAGGGAGCCCAGTATTGGAGTTCTTGTTCTGCAGTGCCAGGCTTCCCACACACTGGGAAACTAAAACTAACACATTTAAACAAACATGCCACATGTTTGAACTAATACGTTGTGAAAACAACCCACAAGGAGTTCCATATTTAAGGACAAACATTTTTGTAGCTGATTTACAATTTTTGTCACATGACAAATTGGTTGGCCATGGCCGCTGGCAGGCATTCACTTAAAGGTGTGATGGGATCTGATCTATGAACCCAACAATCATGCCTTCTGCCATGCCACAGATATATGGCAGGACTAGCAATTTTGGGATTGGATATTAGATCCCAATTGTGCCTTACTTAAACTGCAGGGCGAGCCCAGGATCATGATCCCTGTACCAGAAAGCTGGAAGCAGGTGTTCACAATAAGCCAATTGTTATCTGGGACTGGGGACTGAACCAGGGCTTGGAATCAACCAATTGCCAAGCCCCCACAAGGTAGTGCAAATGGTTTTGTAGGTTCTAGAGCAGAGGGATCTTACAAATGAACATAAGGCAGTCTCTTTCCTGTGATGCATCTCTTTCCTTTAAAAACTGTGCATCCCATTGGGTTGTATATATGGTTTTCTGATATTCCTGATGCACAGGGACCTCAGGATTGGGAAGAAGCTCCTTGATCCTAGGGTCCCTGAAATCTGGGGATGTCAGAAAACTACATGTCCAGTCCATCTGGATCTCCCAGTGTCAAACTGAGCCCCCTGGGCTGCATATCAGCAGTTTAGAGAATGCCTGTGTGTGTGGCCTGTGAAATGTGTGGTGCCACAGATGTCAGAAAACCACATGGGCAGCTCCGCTGCATACATAATTTTTAAATGTTTAGGTTGCAGTGAGCTCAGTATTCAGAACATTCGCTCTGATGTAGGGCTTACTGCACCTTGACACCTGCTTCTGGGGGTCAGGTGGGAGTCCGGGACTCAGGGAATAGTTCTGCCCCCAATCCACCTGGGTAAAGGACAATTGTGTCCCAGACTCTGGGGCTGCCCTAAGCTTGATCCTGACACACAGCTGAGTGTTGGGATCTGTATTGTGACAGTCCCAACTGGCCACATGTTTAAATTTAAGACATGACACAGATGAACCACAAAGGTTTGCATGTCACATTACATTTGGATAACTTTGTGGCTCATTTACCGTATTATTACACCTTAAATCCACTTGAATGTGTGGTCAGGTTACTATTTAAGGCATGATTAACAGGTTACTTGCATCTAAAAGGTAACATGTCAGGGGCTATGTGCTATATTACAGCTTATTGCACAATTAACCTGTTAACTGCATGATAACTATTACATCTGCCAGGGGATCTCAGACATATGCATTATAATAGACTTTACTGCATGATCCTGTACTATTTTTCACCTTTGCTTCATGTATTATTTACTGTAAATCACTCAAAATCAATATAACGAATTATTCATTTCTTCCAGTTGCTTCTATGGTGGTCTTACTGTAGTATTCTTCCCAATCAATACCCCTATGGTTTGAAATGTTGTTATATTCATTTTACAGGTGGGGAGTTAAGGCACAGAGAGATTAAAGTAAAAAATGTTATTAGTGACAATGAATATTGGATGCTCAATCTGTATTATTTTAGAACAGTTTTTATGCTGCCATTACTTAATATTGGGAGTACAACTGCAATTTTGAAAGTCAGGCCCTATTATCCTAAATTGCGTACCATGAAAATATTGAGTTACGTAGCACACCGAGAATCACCCAAGAACTCTGTGGCAGGGTAGATTCAATCTCTCCAGTGTCTCTTACCTGCTTTAACTATAAGATCATCTTTTCTCTTCAGATTTTCCCTGTTTCTTATGCAGGCCTTCCAACTCCTGTTACAAATGAGAGAGAAATATCTTAAAGTTGACATCTATTAAGATATGAAATTAGGGGGATTCATTTTCTTTAGAACTCAAGAGAGGTGCTCACAAATGAGGAATGTTATGTTACAATTCAGATTGAAAAAAGAGAAAAATGAGGGGCAAAATCCCCACAGGATTCCTGCCACTCAATCCTAAAATATTTCTTCGTAAAAATCCTGAAGTGTTGAAGGTGTTTTACATTTTACAGTGTCCAAAATCAACTACCTTGTTTGTCCTCTTTTTTTAGTCTTTTGCAAAAAAATTAACAAACAACCCGCCAAACATCTTTAATAAACAATTTACTGACCCCTCACCCCATACTGAGTTGATGAAAAAATAATTACAGGAAAAAATGTTTTTAATAATATTTTTATTTAAAATTATGCTTTTATTAAAAAAGATGCAAGCATCTCAGAACACTATTTAAAGACAATTTGTTATTTTTTTCATTTTGAAAACACCATTTTGTAACAAGAACCCTGTAGTTAGAAACATTTCAACTAGACCTTTTATTCGATTTTGTCTGTCACATCTTTTTCATTTTGCATTTTTGTTACTTGCAGGGGGATGAAGAGCTTTGAAATGCACTCTTTTGGGATTTGATTCATTCATTATTTCCCATTATATCTTACCTTCCCCATTCATTCACAGCTCATATACAATATACACATGCAGTTACAAAGAATGTTTTAAAAAATAATGCCTTATTATCTCAATCTCTGCATCACACTTTTCTTTTGGAATTTCTGATTGGAGAAATTTGACATATGTTTTTAATAGTTACATTGAATTGCTCTTCATCCTCAGGTCTACCAAGTTAATAGCAGCAAGCTCTCAAGCTAGGAGAGCTTTTTTGTTGGAGTTCTCAAATCTGTGGGGAATGCTGCTCACTGCAGCTCATCCAGAAACACAGTTTTTTCTTCTCACATCAGAAGGCTGCTTGTCTATGCCATCCCACTTGGCTTTGTCACTGATGAGTTATGGATATTTTAACTCTTGGGGACACAGCCAGCTCATTGTTAAAAGTCTGACATAGTGCAAAACTGTTCAGTCAATACATGGCTGATGTGCTTAATAATTTCTCTGCTCCACAGTGTCTATTCTTATAACAGTTTTACATTAAATCTAAGGCTACATTCTGATGTTATGATTTCAATTAATTTGTAGAATATGCAGAAAATGTCAGGCGCTTGTAAATCTATGTTAAAATGCCATCTTGCATAACACTGAATGATCCTACTCCCCCCACCAAAAAACCCATCATGGCAATACTCATTCCTTTGAAATTATTCTCATGATTGCTATTCTCTGACCTATAACAGTTATACACAATCTTATTATACTGGTGCTACGAACATGTTTAATGAGCTCATGCTACTTACAGCTTGCTTTCATCTGCACAATTATTTATCAGTTGTTAATGCCATATTGGTCTGCTCACATGAAAATAATTGTACAAAGAATGAATCACTTGGCATTAGGGCAGCAAATAAAAACACAATGATAAAGAAGAAACAACTTTGTCATTTCTGACCTGTAATTGCCTTTGGCTCTACCAGTATTTTCAAGAGGCAAATTTCATTCTCTTCACTATAGAGATCCTCTTCTAAAGATTAGCAAAAAACAATTTTAAGTATTTAAATAGTGTAAAACTGAGGTACAAAATAGAAACACTTGTTTAGCATATTCACATTACTTATGGTCTAACTCAAAGACTACAAGGCAATGAAAACTTTAAAGGATGTTAGATCTTGCTAGGGTGATAACAAAATGTTAACTTTATTATGAAAATTGTGTGGGGGTGGGGATTAACATGAATATAAATTAAACGTGTTTAATTTTGATGGAAAAAAATCCCATCATTAAATAACTATTAAAGGAAAAATAAATCTCCCTTTTTGTCCACTGAGAAAATAAGAGGAATGGTGGGGGGGAAGTAAAATGGTGAAAGCAATAAGTTTTTTTTTTTAAATCAAGAATTTGCTGAAAAATAAATTCTGATGAAAATGAAATTTTGAATAATGTTATAAATATTCATGTAAAACCTCCTTTTAAAATGTAAAAAATGTTTGTAGAAAAATGTATCCAGCTCTTAAGCAGGGTATTAACAATACATCAATATTGGTATTTGTAACATACTGATTTCAGAGTAATTTGAAAAGAAGTGCTGTTAAAGTTAATGCTTATAAAAAAAAAACAAAAAACCTACCACTTCTATGTGTTTGAAAAATGCACAAAGACCTTAGATGCATTTTTTTTTAGGGCTGTGTTCCTTTCATTCATAAATCACTCTAAATACATTGTGTCAAAAAAAATGTTCTAGAAAAGGAACAGCTAAAATGCAGCACTCCATGACCATGGAAATGTAATGGCTATCATAGCACAAGAATTCACCCCACTTGAATTGGTATCTCCTAAGAATCCGGTCCTGGCCTGTTATCTTTCAGGCACACTATAGGACTCTGTGTGTGTGTGTGTGTGTGTGTGTGTGTGTGTGTGTGTGTGTGTGTGTGTGTGTGTGTGTGTGTGTGTGTGTGTGCGCGCACGCGCGCGAATGTACACAGCTCTAGAGGGACACTGCCTGCATGTGTGTGCACGCATGCACCCTCATCTGTAGGGTGGACAGGGGAGCCTGCAAAGCATGCTGGGCTATGTACACTGGGCCCCCTGGCTGGGTGCCATTGACAGAACATGCTGTTTGCAGAACACTCAGTCGGCCCTATAACGCTTTCACAGTGCTCTGCCAGTTAAGTTTCCAGCCCAACTATATTACTGGTTCATTAGAATGCTTGCATGCACCTTGATGGCCAGACATTCAGACTTAGATAAAAGAAAGCTGGTACTAACAGGGTTTGTCTACATGTGCAATTAATGCCATTTGCCTTTACTGCACAGATTAATTTACTGTGTAGTAAGTGCCTGCACATGTAGATGGTGATGCTTTACTGCACTGTTGATTAGGTTATTGTACAGTAAAGCATCTCATGTAGACATGGCACAGTGTATGAATTACTCGTATTTTTTCTGTCTGATCAATCATTGTGCAAGATCAACAGGACTTCTGTACATTATTGGGAATAAAAAAGACTAGGAGGGAATATTCTTCATCTTTCCCCATTTAACTCGCTACAAACTTAAATAAAATATAATGGGCAATTTTATTCTTTCCAGAGTTTCATTTAGATTTCTTGGTCCATAATTTTCCCCAGCAGCCCCAGTGATGGAGCGACATTGTATGAGCTAATCAAGGAAAGAGAGAATCCAGTCCCTTTTAAGAATTATTTCACTTCTTCTTTCCTTGTGAGATTTTCTTCATTGCCAGATTACTTTGAATGAGGAAGATATTTTTTGCCTTCTCACTCAGTGATTCAAGGATGCCAGTAGGTAAGACACCATGTAAAATTCCTTTATCATAACTTGGCAGGTGCCCAATGAAGACTATCATTTAAGAGGGAGCCTATATGCTTAACCAACAGGATTAAGAGAAGGCATGATGGCTTACAGGTTTTACTGCACTGTGTCAACTGTGTTCATATTTTTTATAATACTGCTCGACTCAGTTTACCTCATTAGGCTGCCCACAGAGAATGATGGGTTAAGTGCCAGGTCTGGCTACATGCAGGACAAAACAAAACAGACTTACAGAAACAACAGTATTGAATAGCTTTATTGACATTATGACATACCCTGACATAACCTTGCCCTAGATGAGGTCAGTTGAGCCTTTGAGACATGCTTATGGGATACCTTCTGCAACACCATTTAGCCCCAAAACTGCCTCTGCCACTTACTGCTTGACCACTGAGAACCAATTGAAATGTGACAAGAGCCAACTCCTTGGCCACTGGCACCTTGGTTTTACCCAGCTCACTCAGATCTTGCCAGCCCCTAGCAGGGGATATTCTTCCAGCTAGAAGAATCACATCCTTGTCTCAGTCCTAGACTCAGAAAAAATGATTCCCCCCTTCCAGAGAAGAGGCATGCCTATGAGGTCAAACACTTTGAAATCACACTTACCTTCACAATAAGAAAGATAACAAAGATTTATTATAAAACCAAGACCAAATAAAAGAGATCAGTAACCATATGTTCAGATACAGAGATACAACAAACAAAAGAAAAAAATCCCCACAGAATAACCTATTCTTACCCTACATCTTAAATCCGATAATGCAGTTTCTACTCATCTAGTTGAGGGACTCCAGTGTTTTCCTATTCCTAGGGGGAAAAAAACAAACCTGAAGACCTGGGTTTGCTCTCTAGACCAGTGGTCTCCAAAGTGGGGTGTGCACACCCCAGGGGGTGTGCAAGATGATCCATTGGGGTGTAGGAAGAAAATATTAGAACTTCTATTTATATTTCTATTTATATAAATATACATCTATTGGGGGTGCGTGCTCAAAAATTTTTGCTTATAGGGGTGCATGATCAAAAAAGTTTGGAGACCACTGCTTTAGACAAAGCTTAAGCAGGGTTTTTATCTGGCTTTTTACATACATCATCCACTGGATTCTTGGAGAGCCCACACTATGCATATATTGTATTTTATCACATAAAAACTTGTACCCCCCCTCCAAGTAGCCTGGGGAAATTGGGTTGTGCTTTATATGCAAGGAAAAGGGATCCCCATGGGTCCATACATTTGGGGGGGAGGCGGGGCTAAGGAGTGGCAGCATTATTCTGGGAGCTATGGCATTTAACACTGCCACCACTTCCCCCACTACCAACACATTTTTGGACTTGTGGGAACCCTTTCCCCCATTCACACACTGGATTGGGCTACCATGCAAGGTTGTTTTGGTGCACTGGGTTCAAGCCCATGCACTGACCTTGGGACCTCATGCTTCAGGGCTAGGTTGGACTCAGCATGTGACTCTGAAGCCAGCAGGTGACCCCACACCTACCATGTAGTCCTGGACTCAGTGCACTGGGTCCAACTCATCTCATGGCTCCTCAGCCAGCACACAGGATAAGACTTGGCAAGCAGGCCTGCTGCCAGCATGCTGGGTTGATCCCTGGGCCCAGTCCTGTGTGGCATTGGCAGGAGGCTTGGATCTCCAGCTGCTTACATTTGCTTACCTCAACTGAACATTTTTTTCCTTTAGGGTCCCCTTCAAAAAATCAAGGTGAGTACTATATATGGGGCATGCTATATGGAAAAAAAATATGGTAATGCCCTGCCTTTGTTCCTCCCACCCCCACTCCCCCTCTTCCAAAAGTGTCTTTGCTTACTGGAGCAGAAGTCTTTTTTGACTTAATGACAAAGCTAAGTATGGCTTGGTGATACCCATATATAGAGACCACATGTGCCATAACAGTAAAACAAACTCAGTAAAACATGCATGCCATTCAATGAACACCCCAGAATATAGTGGGTTAATGATGGACACATCCATGAAGATGTCAGACACCCAAGGGTAGATAAAAAGGACAACGGGAGAGCAGGCTGGAAGATGCAACATGTCAGCTCTTGGGAAGAACGGTCTGGTGGCTGAGACAAGTAGAACACCTTTGAGGATCTGGAGAGACTGGAAAGGGAATTGCTTAGTATTTTGGGGGCTCAGGGCTGTGTGGACTAGATTGGGGACAAGGGGATTGCTAAACATTTGCAGGGGCAGAGAACCTCTGCCTAGGTGGCATTTTGCCCAAAAACACCTTTACTGAAGAGCCTTTCTACTGTACCACTTTGACTTTGGGTTGTACAGAGTTCCCCCAACAGAGGGTGAGGTCCTTCCCTCCTTAGGAGTCATGGAGAAACAATAAGAGGGAGGGATCAAAAAGCCAGCAACCTCAAAGCTGGAAGGGGAGTTGGCCCTCCCGGCTCTAGAAGCTACACATCTCCTGACTTCAGGGAGAATTCTTAGAAACTAAGAAAGGCTGCAGTGTTCCTGAACAATCACCCACCTCATAGGACTCCAGGACAAATAGTGACAGGGGTGGGATCCCAGAGTGTAACAATAGCAGCACTTCCGAAGAGTTGTTATGGTTACAGAGACACTCTTAGTCAAAGCCACGGCAGAAAATTTAGCATACAGATGGCTTTCTAGAGGGAGGGTTGCAAAAACTGTGCCAGAAAAGAGCTTTAACCTTTGGAAGGGCAAAGAAGGCATAATCAGAGTACAAGAGCTGAGTGATTGAGCTGAATCAGTACCATGATGGCAACCCAACTTGTTAGTAGGGGAGGATTGCACATTAGGTGATAGTAGTAGCTGAGGAAGCAGCCAAGTTTCATCACAACCCTTTTCCCCTGATGCTAGTCTGGAGTAGCAGAAACTGATTCTGAGAGAAAAGGAGCTTCAGGGCACATACAGATGTTCCAAGGACCTAGTCTACAATCACATGGCTTGCTTTAAGCCATGTGATCATAGATCAGGTCCTTGTTCGTGTAGATTTGCCAGTGCCAGGAACATGATTCAAGGATCTAAGCAAGCCAGGGTGGGAGAAGGGGTGGGCAAGATGAAGAATGGAGTAGGGTGGGGTGGGGTAGCATGTAGGGGTCCATGGGGCTTTTGGTGGGTCTGCAGGGAAGGGGATGTGTCTGTCTGAAGTAGGAGCGTCAGAGGGCTAAAAATAGCCAGGTCATTTTGTGGGGTGGAGAGGGCGCCTTAG